CACACACACACACACACACACACACACACACACACACACACACACACACACACAGAGTCCAAGGCAGTTGAACTCATATGTTTGTACAGAAGGAAGGGTTTAAAAAACGAAGATCAATAGCTACGTTGCTAAGCACAAATGTACAAAAATCATGAATTGGGCCCCAAAACGCATGAAATTGAGTTAAAAATCATTAACTTTAAAAAGAACAATAAATCTGAGGTTCTTTGTTTTTCTATTCTGGCTTCTGGATTTTCTCTGCAGCAAAGGACTGGGAATGAAAATGAAAGCTGAGTGGCCCATATCAGCACATGACTCCAGAGGCTGGGACTTCAAGTTAAGCAAAGGTTCCCAGACTTGTGATTGCAATATCTGCGATACAACATGTGCTACAACCCAACTGGCAGCAGAGCACCGTGGTGGTGGTCCACGGAGCACAAGCAAAGCATGAGATGCACCCTCACTACCCTAACCCCGGGATGCCAGCAGGGTTTGACTTTGTGCGCAGGTTGCCCGGGCTCATCTAGCCTTCCAGGGCTTTGATTACACTGCTGTCTCTGGGCAAATGGCCTGTAGGGTTGGGCGAGGAAAACAGCCCCACAGGTCTAATCGCTTCTGAGCCTGAGAAAAGCTCCATGGATTTCCCATGACCATCTCACGAGATCAAAATCTGAGCTGAGCAAGGAGGGGATGGACCGGCAACATTTCCAAAAGCCTCAGGGAGGCAGGTCAGGCTCTGACAGGCTGCTCGGCTCTGAGAGCGCAGCATCGGCACCGGCTCGATAACGGACACGAGGAGGCCCGTGAGGAGGTACCGTACAGCACACGCAGGCACGCACGTGCACGCGCACGCACACAGAATGAAGTCATCCCGGGAGTCTGGCAGGCTCGGCAGCGCAGACTGACCATTTTCCCTGTGCTGGAAGGAAGGTGAAAACTCTTTGGCAGTGATCCTGGCAATCCGAGCTTCCTCCTGAGCTTTCTGCGCTGCTGTCACAGCCGCGTCCGCTTTCGCCCGGGAGTGGGAGGTCCTGCAAGGGAATGGAAGACAAACACTGAATTAGGCCCTGCTGGGACTGGCATCGCCCAAAGGATCCCAGCAGCATCAGCGATCCTCCATGCCCTCTCCACATGCATCTGCTGGGCCGAGGAGCCTTTGCACTGCAAGACAAAGAGCTGGTGTCCGTGGTCCTTGACCCTGCTTCTGCGATGCAGACACCCCATTGCAAACAGATCGGCCTGGAAGCCCTCCAAAGGCAGCCCCTACCTTACCTCTCTAGCAGTGCCAGGCATTCAAAGCAAGCGAAGCCACCGCTTGCACCGACCCACATGGCCTGTTGAGGACTGCACAAATCTAGAACTTGGGCTTCCAAAATGATACCTTTGATTGGACCAACTAGGAAATCGCAAAACGAAACAAAAATCTCTTTTTCTGCAATGTTCGGGCTCATAGGCATTTCATCAGGCTCTGGGAAAATTAAAGATGGTAAAAAGTCCCCATAGATCGGAAATACCCTGGGGTCTGGGAGTGCAGGGCTTCTCCAGACCCTGCCAGATGTCTACCGCTGCCCCCAAAGAAGCACATTGGACAGAGCCTGAAGAGCTGGACTAAATACTACAATAAAACCTTCTTTTGGGGAACAAAGAGAATGAATTAACATGAACTAAGCTGGACACTGACAGACTCTGACAAAATGCCACGGAACGGAAAGCATCAAATAGTTCAGTTCCCTGAAAACCCGTATTTCCCTTAAAAAGCAGTTTGGGCAGGACGTTTTCCACCAGCATTGCCTACAGCGCCTGTTTATAGATTTATTGTTTTCCAGCATCCCAAGCGCTGGACTTACCGTGACTCCCCTTGCAGGGCTGTTCCACACACTCACAGATCAAGAAGTATTCCCTAGTAACCTACATTTTTTCAGTTTTATCCCATTGCTTTGAGTTATACTCCAGTATACAATCCCTCTCCATCCTTGATGTATGAGTCCTTTGAATAATGCTAAACAATTATCCTACCCTTTAGCCAAGCTAGATATGTGTTTTTAAAAAATGTCAGTGGCTAGACATTGTGCTGGAAGGGAGCAGTATAAATAGCCAGCCTGATTTGTTTTCCCCCCTCTCCAAAATCAGTCCCTTCAGCTCCCTTCATCATTTTTGTTGCTGGCCTATGAATTTCCCCTAATTTTTCTACATCTGTTTGTCATTGCAAGTGCCCAGAACCGACTGCAGTGTGCTGACAAGCTCGTATAAATGGGAAACGGGAAGACCACGTGCCCCATTTTGCAGAGCGCAGCGCACTCATTTTGGATCTTTATGCGGGGGGCGTTTGGGTGCACACGTGCATATGGTCAATTATTCAAATGGAGGTTAGACTGCACCATTGATTAATATGCACCTGCATCTACCATCCTTCTGTAACGTCACTCAGGTGCTGTGTGTAATAGCGGCACAATGCAAGACTGCAGGAAGCTGTAATGACCTGTCACTTATTTTCAAGTGTTGACAAGTTCCATTTCTTTAACGAGTGCTGTATTTATATAAATTGGCTCCTCTGGAGCAGCTGATGGAATTGATATGACTAGTTCCTTAAGAGCTATTTAAGGCAAAGCTGGAGTAGTGGGGATGATGCAGATGCAGCCGGTTCCTAGAATTATTTCCCGGGGGGCCGCAGCACGGGCGCAGGTGGCTCCTACAGAAGATGGCCTCACTCTGCAGGACTGATGGTCCCAGTTCCTTAAGTCATTCCCAGTGCGTTCCCTGTAACAGCGCTGAGGATGTCGCTGTTGTCAGATCCTGGAAGGCTCTTTAAGGATCCCTGCTGCAGCCGTTGCAGGAGTCCCCATCTATATCAGCTCCTTGTAGAAAGAAACACCTGGGTCCATGGGCTTTGGCCTTAGGAGGAGTTATCCAAAAATTGCTTTGGGTACTGCTGCCATTTTTTCTGACTCTGCTTCCTACACCCTGTACCTGGACGGGGAGGCAGCAAGGCGAACTTCCCAAGACCGAGACTTCGTGGGGACAGTTACTGAGGATGTATGAAGCAGACAGGGGCCGGTTGGACTTGATCAGCTCGTTCAGCCTTGGGGCCCTGGCAGGCTGGAGCAATGCACCGAGGATGCAGAGCAAAGAAATCACCACCCTGCTGCTTTGCCTTTGCAGGGGACGGTGCCAGGGAAGCTCGGAGTGCAAAGCTCAGCAGACCCCTGGCTCCGGACTGTCTCTTTGCTGAACACCGGCAGCTTCAGCCTTTTTTTTTTTAACTCCACAGCCTAATTCAGTGCTGCTGTGCCAGCTAAGTCTGCAGGGCATAGGAAACCGGGCCATGGCTTACAGAGATACCCAGTCCCTTCCAGAAGAACTACCACTCAGCACTGTGAGCCCTCTACAGAAACATAGGGTTCAAATAAAGGCAAAACTTATGGCAACACCTTGTTTGGATGGGCTCCACTGGGGATTCAGATTGACTTAGGGACCTGGACTACTTTCTTCTCAAGTCTCAGGTAGAAGGGCTCTATTCGGCCATCCCTCAACCCACAGAGCTGGAACATGGTGGAAGGGTAGAGGGCAAGCGACTCCCCCACCTGCACCCCACCAGCTGCAAAAAGAGACAAGGCTCAAGGTCAAGAAACCACTGGGAACACCACTGGAGGCTGGTGACAAAGTCCAGCAAAGCCAACGGGAGGCTTTCTGTTGAGTGGACTGGGCTTTGGGTCAGTCCCTGAGCGTGGACATTTGGATCAGAACTGCAATTCATGGTCCCCTTTTGGGATCTGGCCCAGATCATTTGAAAAGGCAATCATACCATCCTGTGATAAATACACCCAATTCCTGCAAAGTGGATATACCATAGGACACTGTGCAGAGGTGCAGGCAGGCTTAATTGTTTGTAATGAGCTCTAAGATGCTTGGAGGTAAGGCCTGGATGAAGTGAAAAGCAGAATTATGATGATCCATACGTTGCATGATAATATACCTAAGTATTTCCAAATAAATGCAAGTAATCCAGTTAGCGCTAGCAGGAGTTTGTCACATGCTATATTTAACAGCTGCCTCCTTTATATATATATGCATGCGGTATAGAGCGTGCACTAAATCTTAATTCCCCCGTTAATGGCTTGATTTTATTTCCTTGTAAAGCCCTACAAGAACCATACACGCTCGCTAATCGAATCACTCTTCTCCTGCCTCACGTGCCGCCTCCTTTGCATGGCTGCGTCTAACTTCCAGCGACCTGGAGCTCGCCGCTTGTAAAAAGAAGGGCTCAGGGTGCGTCGCAGAGGACAGCACATAGACCCTGCTGAGCTGCAATTGCAGGGTACAATCCTACCGTTTCCTGGGAGTGGGACACCGCACAAAGTTCAGGAGAAAGAACAATTAGAAACTGGGTTGTGTCACCCAGATAACCTGTTTTGTTGGTTTTTTTAAGTAAAATGAATGTCCAAAGAGGAGCTTGATTGATTTAGCTTGAATTAGTTCATTTAAACCAGCCTAAATTTGTGTTTAAACCAGGCTATGTTTGTGTTTAAATTAAACTGTTTCAGCCCCCCCCCCCTTTACCAATGTGAGATTTACAGTCATATTCCTCTGATTTGGACCCAGATTTGTACCAAGTCGTATCAGCTTAGACTCCCTTAGGGCCTAGTCATGCATCTTCCCCTCCGGGTGTGGCTTGGATGCTGCCAACCCAGAGCTCCTGTCAAGTGCTCTTCTGGACTCTCAAGCTGCTAGCTTAGCTCAAGACCCCCTTTTTATCTGCTCCTGGGCTGTCAACATGTTTTTATAAGCATAATGTCGGTCTGAGACCACTGTGCTGGCAAAGAAAGCCTCGACATTGTGGGTCGAGGCTATTGAGGCTATTATTGTGGGTAATATTCTAAGCAGCTGTGTGCTCCACCCCAGAAGTGGCTGCATTTCAGTTGTCAGTGGAATAGTTCCTGCATGGATTTGCATGGTTTGCAGAGCCCTGGATCCACTGAGATGAAGGAGCTTAAGATAACAGTTGGGTGTTATTAATGAATTATGGAAATAACATAATTATTCATTGTCCTACCAATAGCCTCTACTTCCTGAGAGGAACAGACAAACCTAAGGATACCCCGATGCTACTCAATTGTTGGATTTCATTTCCAACCTAATACTAACATTTGCATTTTAAAGGTTATTATTAGGGTTTCCTTTAACCTCACCATCTCCGATTGCTGCCTGGTTCCAGACAGTTTAACTCAGCTACGAGCCCTGCTTTACTACAGAAAATCTTCCTACGGCTCAAGCCATCCTGTCACCTCCTAGAAGCCACAGTAAATAAGACTATGGTTTAAACTTTCCTATTTGGCACAAGCGTAACTCCAACAGCAACTGCAGTATTGGGCTGGATCTGCTGGGCTGGCAGTGAGTGGCAGCAGGCAAGAAACAGCCTTTAAAAACAAAAGAGTAGGAGCCAGGTCTAAGGATGGAGCAAATATGATCCAAAGCCAGCTGATCACACACATGGCTCAGTGATGAGACTGCTCCCTCTGCTCGTCCTTCTGCTTTTCTCCATTTATTTCTGATGTCCACTTGTTGCCTCTTCTCTCTAGACCCCCAGGGGTCTGCAGACTGTGTCTAAGGGGTCCTCAAAACCACTGCTCTCATCTCTTCTGGGCAGCAATAGTTTGTCACTAGGGTTAAAAAGAGACATTGGGTTTATCCCAGGTCTGATTCTCCCTGGCTTTGACTCCATCAAAGCAGGTGGGAGTTAGGGACAGTCATTTCCACATGCACCTTGAATGGCAATTCACTGGAATTAGCTTTGACCATCCCAGGGGAAAAGTGTTATCTCTGCGGTCTGAGGGCTTATATCTGGGGCTAACTTTGGTTGTCTTCTTTTAATGCCAAACTGATTTGCTCGCCTCTGATCATGGCTGGGCAACAGGTCAAATTGGCAGGCAGAGCTGGCAGGGGAAAAAAAACCCAGCCAACCACCCAACAGATTTTCACAAATCTTTGCAGATCTGCTGTGATTTGGCTGGAGCTGACAGGGGAAAGGATAATT